ATTTTTCAGTTTCTTGATAAAATATAGTAAGCATCAGTCAAATAAATGAAAGTGTACCAGAAATCATCAACATCTTTTTTATCTTTAAATGATTTCTTTTGATAATAGCATAATCTAATAGTATCATAGATAAGAGTTGGATAAATATGTGTTTAAAAAAATCATTTATACATACACATCAGATGATTGCAGATCCAAGTAACTGCTGGTTTGTGCAATTACTTTATTTGTGAACAAGCCAAATGCATCCATGCGAATGCCAGAACTGTAAAACCTTTGGAAGTATTTCTTAAAGCTTGTCCTATTCCTTCTAATGTTATTTCTTGGTTTCACTGTGACTGTTCTGAACTAATGTAAAGTCACCTTAAAATGCAGGTTAGAGTCTCTCCTGTATAAATGCCACCAACTAATTGAGGGATAGTCAGGCATATCAAATTCCGCTTACTTTCTTCTCCTGTGCTCTGCAGGGGCTGTAAAGAACAGATCCTAAAGTGTTGATATCATGAGCTGGGAAGAGACTTCCATGAACCTAAAAGACTAAAAGGATAAGGATAGCTTAAAACCTGGTTTCTTGATAGACCCGTTCTCACTCGTTGATACTCCAAAAGCAGGAGCACAGTGGTTGAGAGCTAGATCTTCTTCAACTTTTCAACTACTTTTCCCTGACTGGTTTTGATTAACCATGAAAGCAGAGCACTGGGCCCTTAGACTTTGCCAGCCCACAGAGGCAGTCTGTGTCAAAAAGAGCAGAAGCCCCAGTTTGAACAGTATTCCATTCCCATGAAATTGTATTTCCAATTGTGCAAGGTGATTTAATAGGCAAGAACACACATGGTTAAAAGCAAGTAGGTACAGAGTCTGTTCTGCAGTATAAAGGAGGCTTTCGGTTTGTCTGTAAATGTTTGCATATCCAATCCGTCTGGCTAAGTGCTAGACCGTGCCTGGTTATTGTGCAGGGTAAAGGGGGAAGATGGGGAGAGGAAACAAGGCAGCTAGGCATAACTCTGGAGCTAAAAGCCTTTTCCCTCACGCTTCAAAGATACTAGATTACATGCAGGACAAAGAGAAGGCAGGGTTTCGCTTCCCCAGGACCTGTTAGCAGAGCAGATTTTGGAATAAAATTTTCCGTCTTACAAATGACGATGTGTTCTGGCCCAGATCCAGCGCATCAGTTAAGTGTGACCTTCCTTTTAAACACTTCTGTCGTCCCGTTGACTAATATATAGATTTGGCTTTCCAATGAAACAATAATGCAATCTTTATTGGGACTAGAAAGGTAATTCCTTCTTCCAACATTCAGGGGAAGAAAAAAAAAAGATCACAGTATGAAAATTGGAATCAGCGCTGTCTCGCTTTCTCTGAGTTGCTTTTCATAGAGGATTTCAAGTCCGATGATGGTGCATTAGGATAAATAACATGGGAAAATTCATGTGTGCCTGGTTGTCTGAGCCTATCCCATCTACCCAGACAGGTCAGCCCAGTTCAGCAGAAGACTTGTTTGTTAGAGGTACCACTCTAAACTGCTGAGCCAACAGGCAAGGAAATGTTTGTGCCTGGGTGCTGGCACTCCCAAGTGGCACATTGTAACCCACTTTTACTCCCGCAGCCTGGAATCTGATTCTCTTTCCCCATCTTCTCCACCTAGAAGCTGTTCTATCTATCTGCTTAGTTATATATATGTATATTCTGAAATATTCTGTTCTTCAGCTCATACAGTCATTACAGCCCAGTTACAGAAGAGCTTTTGTCTGGCTTCACTAACAGTAAAGATATCTTATGGCATTCAGGCTAGGATTTTATACTGTTACCAGTTCTAGCAGATAATGCCGTTTCATCAGATCAAAACTTTGCCTGTGGATCCACAGCCAGCTACAGGCACAGGAAGATTATATTCATTTCAATACTGTGATGAATACTTCAATACTTCTGCTTTAGACATGGTAAACAAAACAGCTGAAGGCCTTTCTTGAGTCTTACGTGGAAGCATTTTCATCACCCTGGTGATGAAATTTTGTCATTCTGACACTCAAGTTGCTCTTTCGTGGACAAATCTAACTAAACAAACACACAAATATGCATATTAAAAACTTGATCTTAAGAAAATGTTAGGAAAAATCTGACTGAGGGGGATTTTAATACACAAGCTTTTGACATCAACTTTATGGTCTAATATTAAGTAAAATTGGTATGGTTTAAGAATTGGTGATTTTTTAATAAATTACAGAATTATTAGTATTGTTCATTTTGCAAATAAGGCTTTGCCATATCCTGGTTTAGATTACACTCTACAAATGCTCTACAGAATCCTGAAAATCTTGAATTTTGTATGCAGTAAAATAATATCTTTTTTTCCAGGTGGTGCAGTGATGCTTTTGGTTTACGAATACGTTTATGCATGGCTTCAGGACACAGCTGATCACAAGCAGCGCTTCTGAAAAATGTAGCCTTTAAAATTATATGCATGCTAAGATACATTTTAATAAAGTAAAAGTGATTCTCATCCTATACGGTGTTGAATGTCCTCAGATTACACTGGTGTTAATACAGTTCAAAACAAACTTGGTCTTCAGGTCCTGGTCCAAGAAAACATTCAGGCACACGCTTTCTTGTAAGTGCGTAAGTAAATAGCACAGTTGACATTTGTAATTGTTTTACTGGATCAAGAGAAAATATAAAAAAAGCATGGGAACAAATTAATTTTTCAAGGACAAACTGAAAATTCTGGACATTGAAATATACCATGTATTCAATACACTTTTTTTTTTTTTTTTTTTTCAGCTGAAATGGCAAGATAATAAATTTCAGGGGATTTTGAAGCAAAAAATGGCATAATCCTGCTGGGCCAGATACTAAGCCAGTGTAAACTGACAGTTCTATTGACTCCAGGTTAGGAACATGACCCATACTCTGCAAACTCTTGCGTCAATCTTGGGTCCGATTTCAACATTGATAGAACAGCTTCTTAAGTTGTTGGGAGTTAGGACAGAAGAAAAGATGGCATGACTAGCCACAGCCTTAAAAGCACACATACTGTTAAATGTCCTACTGTTCTTAGATATATGTATTGTATAAATCTCTTACTTAGGTCACAGAAGATAATAAAAATAATTAGTCTGAAGCAAGTTTCATAAAAGTGCAAATCAGCTGTGGGAATCATAGAAGAAATTAGTAAATAAATGAACAGGATACTTTTAGGCATATGAGATTTTGCTGTGATTTTTTTATCCACTTTCATATACTGTTGCTTAAAGAGCTGTCCTTTGATAAAAATTCTCAATGCACCTTGACTACCTTTCATTTCCACCATGGCATGGAGAAATGATATTCTAGACTGTTTAGCATACATGTCATCATAATTAGCTTGCCATACACCTCAAAGAAATTAACCTTTCTATAGATAAAAAATGTTGGTCTAAAGCTAAAATTGTTGCTTTTCCCTGTCACTGTAAATATATATAATATTTTGGTGATGTACTCCTGTCTTTACAAGCCATTCTGACTAGGGCTCTGAAACATAATAATTTTTGCTGTACTAATTGAAGACATAGTTTCAGTTCATGCAGTTGTGCCAGTCTACAGTTTCTGTTCAAGAACTCTTTAAATACCTTAAAATTACACATTATTCTGTTATAAAATCATTCCCATTATCTGAACTTGGTTTGTTGTCAAATGAATGCGTGGCTTGCAATTGCTGAAAACTTCTGTGTCACCTCATGCTACATTCACAGTTAACTTTAAATGTTCTTCCTCTTAAGGAGGTACAAACCTTTTCCCAGCAGTCCTAAAGAAATATCTCTTCAGACTGTGACTTGAAAATGACAGTTCACATGTAAAGTCTCGTCTCGCAAGTGTTTTTAATGCATTAGGAAAGCAACAAAAAGCTAAAAATAGAAATGCATTCTTAGCACTTTCAAGGATGCTTGTACTGACATGCTCAATAAACCTTTATTTTGTCTAAATTTGACAACAGCAACTTCTCATACCTATGCTACTTCATAGCTAAAATCAATGAAATTGGCTGTTACAGTTTATGATCTTAAGGCAAATGTTCCTTATGGTTGCATTTCATTATGAGAATTCAGCCAAAGAGAAGACACTACTAAGATAATTTTGAAAATTAAAAGCAAAATGCTTCATAATTAGTCTTTTATTAATTTAGAGCAATCAAAATATAAAAATAAAAGGCTTTAAACATATATATACATATATAGCCTTCGGTTTTACATCCTTTCCAACATGATTTTTTTTCAGTTAATAGCTCAGCCTGATCTTCAATAAAAAGAGAACCATTAGAAAGCAGAAAACACAGCATTGTTTTAGAAACCAAACCTATGAATATGCCAGCCCAATCCCTCATCACTCCTGGTGTCGTCTGTAGCGGCATATGCAAACACAGTGAGGATGTCATAGAAGGGAATACTAAGCTTCGCCGATTTCTTTGAAAATGTTTGACACTGGGAATGGAGTGTAGGCTTTTCAGATTAAAAACTTAAATTCTGCAATTACACATACTGCATATTTCCCAAATTAATCCATTCACCTCAGTGGGTTCACTCTGGATTTATGCCCCTGTACCTGACAGCAGCAGTTGACCCTTGTTTATTATTATTTTTTAAAAACCGTTTTTTCTCCATTGTTTATTGTGAAGTGGCTTAAAGTTGTGTGGCTAATAAACTAACACGTTGTGGTTTTCAATTTACTCGTGAGTATAAGAAGGAAAAAATGTCCTTGGGCAAAGGCATTTAAAAAAAAAAAAGTTATGAAAATTCACATCAAAAAACCCCATCACAGACAGTTCACCAAGGGCCAAGGTCAGGTACCTTCTTTCACTGAGCAACCCTTCCTGCACAGTCCCACTGACTCTCCACTCAGGGGTCAGGTATTATATACAGCAGGCAGAAGAGTTGTAATTAAACACAAAACAAAAGTGGTTTGTAATGGTGTATTCCATGTGAGGAATAATGAATATCATGTCCTGTCTTTGCTTTATAAATTACCCCGATTTAGCTGAAGACAAGATAATGCAAACAACTGACACAAGCAAAGGATCCATCTCTCTAAGCATCTCCCAAAACACGCTAATGCCTCATGGGAATCCCAGAACAGACTACTTTTATTCCAGAAATGACGTCTTGTTGAGCGGGAATATTTTGAAAACTTTTAACATAGGCACACTTTGTTACAGGCTTGTGAATTTTTGGAGCTCAAAACGCTGTGCTACAGAAGGTTTCTCTTCTTTTTTTTCTGGGTGTTTTTTTCTTTTTGATGTACCTTGTTTGTGCTGCATGGGTAACAACACATAGACTTACTCAATAATTCTACAGTCCAGTAAAACAACTAGGTTGAAAGCTAAAATCCTGCAGCCAACTTAATCATTTATTGACTCATGATCTTTTCCTTATCTTTATTTCTCCCTCCATTTTATTTTTAGTGAAGGGCTTATTTAGAATTAAACTGATCTCTTTTTCATGGTGTTAAGGCTTGTCTTATTTCAGCTACAACTGCGTAACAGCAGAATAACGTCTGTCACATCACTAACAGGGTGGCAGAGTGGAAATGCACTTGTCTGCACGTTACCTTTAGTGTTTTGAAAGAAACATTCTTTGAAAAACATTCTACTGAGCAAGAAGGGATTCAGCATCTCATTAAAGCTAAACAGCTGTCGAATGCCTTTGCTGTATTGAGGCTGAAGAATACGGGATCACACCTGAGATCAGATCTTTCTTTCCTTAAGGCCATAATACAATACCTGTGTTCTTTCTAGAGATACAGTTCCGTTAGCTATTTTTTAATGTAAAAAACAAAGGTGTCACCAACAAGTTGAGTCCATCCATAGTTCAGTGGATATAGTATGTGCAACATTTTTACTGGTTACTTAGATTATTATGAAAATTTCTCAGTGACGAAAGCTGGAAATGCACAAAGAAGACTGTATTTTAAGAGGGAACTGTATTTTACCTTCCCACTGAATGAATGTTTAATATGGTATGCAGATAGAGCAGTATTTGAAGTTTTCTCCTCTGCTTTAACTATCTCTAGTGTAATTTAGGTTATTGCACAACATTTATAAAAATACACAATATATTAATATTCTATGAAGGACATGAAATGTCACACCAGGCTTGCTTTTGGGTTTTTTCCACGTTCATATTCTGAACATACCTACATCATGTGGAAAGCATTCTGGAATAATAGTCAGAACTTTATTATTGCCCAAGGAAAACAGGTAAATTTTCAAATATCAGAACATTAGCTCTCTTAGGATTAAAGTTTAAAGCAAAATAACTGGCACAGAATACTTGCCACTGGATACAGAAATGTAGAAAGGGAATTTGTTAATATTAAATAATATTTGTGTTTGTAGCACCACCACCAGTACACCTAAAAGGGAAAAAAAATGCTTCAGAACAACAATGTAAACTTTACCAAGAGACATATTTTACATTCATTAAAGCAGAAATTAAAGACAACTTCCTGTTAAAAACATGACAACAGAATCTTGGGGCTGAAAGTGCTGGACACGAGCGAGCCGACAATGACGGTACAATTCTGTTTCTCAGTGGGTTTGTTGACTGACGTGGCTTTGTAACCATCTCTGCACAGACTGCACACGAACTGCATTATTCTCCACCGTTTTCAGGTATTTTCCTCCCATTTCTGTTCATACACTGAACACGGATGTGGTGTTTCAAGAATCTGGGAGGCTGGCTATAGCTGGGGGGAGTTACTTGGCTGGATTTCTGCCTTTGAATTTTCTGCTAAAGAAATAACTGTATTTCATGAGATGTTGAAGCCTCCACTGTAGGCACAAAAACACAATGAAAAAAAACTTACCTAAACCTCATCACCTGAGGCTATCACCCCACCACGCAAAGACACAGAAAATAGCTAGGAAGTCAGTTTTTAACTTAAAACAAACAAACAGAAAAAGTAGAAATAAATGTATTGGAAGGTGAAAACAAATGCTGTCAAAAGACTATATTTACAAATGGATAAAAACACAAAAGTATTACTACCACCTGACGAGGGCAACATGACAGGAGAATCTGAGATCCACATAGTGCCTTGGTTCTATATTTGAATACCAAAACACAAGAAACAACCAAAAAGTGATCTCTCGGTAGCGGTGGATTGTATAACCTCACTGAGGCAAGGGTTGTACCCTCAGTAATCGGTAAACGCCTCTGTTTAGCCGCCTTTGCTGATTCGAGGCATAGCAGAATTTTCTGTGGTGATTTTTCTTTATTGATTTTTTTACACAAATCTTAATAACAATTGCACATTTAGAAAGTCTGTGATGATTAAGAATAAATACTTGTGGTTTGACCAGGAGAGAGTGGGACAAGGCTCCACGAGCCCTTTGAGGGATGCAAGGTCTCTACTTAAAGAGCGCAACACCGCACCACTTCTCTCAGTTTCTGATGTTGTCTTCAGCTCTTTCAATCCCAAAAGCTTTACGGGTGACGAGTCACGAGGAGAAGTGCCAGGTATCACTGGCAC